GTCACCTGCCTCTTTGTTGTGTGAAACTGAGGTGAAACTTTTGGGTATAGTTCCTAAAAGTGCTTTGTATGTGGGTGATAGGTTGTGTCTATGAGTCTAGAGTCCACCTCCTCTATTGAGTGATGGTTTTTCCAAGTTGACAAAAATGGCTTCTTTTACCCCTCTCTCAAACCATCTGTCTTCCCTGGCCAAAATGTGCACATTGTTGTCCTCAAAGGAGTGTGATTTGTCCTTGAGTTGTATGTGAACAGCTGAGTTCTGTCCTGAGGAGTTGGCCCTCCTGTGTTGGGCCATGCGCCTGTGTAGCGGTTGTTTGGTCTCCCCAATGTACAGGTCTGTAGACTCTTCACTGCACTGAATGGCATAAACCACATTGTCCAGCTTGTTTCTTGGAGTCTTGTCTTTGGGATGAACCCGTTTTTTGTCTTAGGATGTTGCCAGGTTTGAAGTGTACGGGGATCTAGTGGTGGTTAAAGATCCTCTTAAGTTTTTCCGAAACTCTTGAAATGTATGGAATGACGACATTCCCCCCTCCTGTTGTCCTCCCTCTTTGTGGGCCTCTTTTTGTTAGTTTTTAAAAACGCCCATCTGGGATAGCCACATGTCTTAAGAGGTGTCCTAATATGTCCCTGTTCTCTCATCTTACCTCTTTTGGTGGTGGGAATGGTGTCTGCCCGTGACTGTAGGATTCCGATGACTCCTAATTTGTGCTCCAGTGTGTGGTGTTTGTCAAAACGGAACCTTGATCATGAACCTTGATTTTGACCGACGTATCGTCCACATATCGGAACCAGTGGCTGGGTGATGTGGCTGGGTCGGAGTGTAAAGCTCAGCTCTTCACTTCCTCCATGTAGAGATTCGCCAATATGGGAGACACAGGAGAGCCCATAGTGCAGCCATGCTTCTGTCTGTAGAAGGACTCGTTGAACTGAAAGTAAGTGGTGGGGAGGCAGAAATCTAAAAGAGCACAAATGTGGTCAATGGTCAGGTTAGTTCTTACCGGCAAGTTGTGATCTTGTGGTAAGTGCATCCTCACTCTTGCTACTGCCTCTGTGATGGATGGATGCATGTAAAAAGTGATGTGACGTCGTAGGAGACCATGGTCTCATCTGTGTCAAGTTTTAGCCCCCGTATCTTGTTGGTGAAGTCCTGTGAGTTGGCTATGTGGGGAGGTGTGTCCCCAACCAATGGTGAAAGGATGGAGGCCAGGTGTTTGGCGATGTTGTAAGTGACTGAACTGAAACTGCTGATGACGGGTCTGAGTGGAGCTCCTTCCTTGTGGATTTTGGGGAGACCATAAATACGGGGAATGGCTTCTCCTGGATATAGCCGGTGGTACAGGCGTCTGTCGATGGCTTTATCCTTTTCCAGCTGTTGGAGGCATCTGATGACCTTCTTTTTGTAGCTGCTGGTGAGATCCGTTAGGGGTTAGGTTAGGGTTAGAGGGTTAGGTTAGGGTTAGGGTAAGGGTTAGTTAGGGTAAGGGTTAGTTGGGGTTAGGGTTTGGTTAGGGTTAGGTTAGGTATTAGGTTAAGGTTAGGGTTAGGGGATAGAGTTAGGGTTAGGGTTTAGGTTTAGGATTAGGGATAGGGTAACCTTGTCCATACAAGATTTGTACTGCAATGTATAATGTAATTTTCTTTTTGTTAGAATTGGTAATACAACATTGGTCGAAATAAGAAAAAAGTATCGGTATTTGTACAGATATCGACACGTTTTCATTTATACCCCGCCCTAAACAACAAAAGCTTTCTTTGATCACTGAAAGTCTGAGCTTTCTCCCTTGTTCACTAAGTCAAAAGCAAGGCCCCAAATGGGCAAATGAGGGTAATTGGTGCATGCAAGATGCTACAGTAAGACAGGCCTTGAATCCAACAGAATAATATACAGGTTCTGACAGAAAGGTGTCAAAAAAGACAATGCATCCTTAAAATCTAGGATCATGGGTTCAAGCCCCTGAGGAACCATGTATCCCTAATAGCACTCCCTATGTGGCAGCATGTGTGTTGCAAACACATACTTAATGGCACCTCCTGTGGCAGCCTGTATGGGCTGCAAGGACTCACAGTTTCACCTATATAGAGTGCCCTCTAGTGGCTGTCAGTGTATAAATAATGAACATGTAAATTTTCACCACCACTGCCCACCAAGCCACCACTGCCCTAGAAGGGAAGTACGATAATAATTATTATTATATTATTTATTTATTTATAACCATTTTGTCATGGTCAATGGTCATGTATGACATGTATATATAATATAAACCAGAGATATTCAACCATGGGTTCCTGACCCCGTTTGGGGTTGCCTGAAATGTCTTGTAATTGATATTACTGATAAGAATATTTTTTTTCAAGTAATTATTTTTTTTTTTTTGTAAAATTAACTCTGTATTTGCAACACAGTATGATAAACATGATCACAAACTAATTCTAGAAAAAGAAATCCCTGGGGTTGCCAGAAATTTGTAATGTCAAAATGGGGTTAAAAAAAACATTGATAAATGTAACCCAATTGCAAGCATCTTCACACCAGACTGCATTTGGACCTAGCCACCGTAACCATTGTGTAGTGTTTAGCATGCCAGCATGCTCGGAAGCAGAGAGCAGAGAGTTCTGGGTTTGATTCCCAGAGGAACCACATGCTTGATTATTAATCCTCCTCCTGTAAGTCGTTTTGGATGAAAGTGTCCGCTAAATGCATAAATGTAACTAATGTTCTTGCACTGATGCTGCTTCCTGCACTGTATTAGGAACGGCTACAATTTTGTTGTACTGAAAGTATGACAAGAAAGGCTTTCTTATCTTATCTTAATGTATCTACATTGATACGCATTTTGACTACTCCATCAACAGTGCGCTGAGCACAGTCATTAGTACTAAACCACACGGAACACAGACCACAAAAGCAGAAAGTTCCTTTAAGTCTGAGAGATATTGATTACCAGTGAGTGTTTGTCGTCAAAGTCCAAACAAGAGCACTAGTTATGAATGAGGGGGTGGGGGCAACAAATGAAGTTAGAAGGGCCATCTTTTCAGAGTTGTGCAGTATGCATCGTAGGTTGCATACAGAAAGTTATCGTCTTGCTGTAGAGCAGCGGTGTCAAACCCAAATTCACAGCGGGACAAAATTAAAAAGTGGGACCAAACTTAATATTTATTGAACAATTGACAGCAATCGTGCATGTTTTCCCCTTCTCCCCAGAATTTTTCATATGGAAGGAAACTGTAGTTTTGCGTAAACACTGACTCTGGACCAACCAAAGCTTCATATTATAAACACATGAGAAATTAAATTTGAAATAAAACAAACCCAAAATGTAAGTGCTATAACATAGCGCATACACCACTAATACTACAAATCCTGCCAGTATATGGGGCCATATACTGGCAGCACTAGAGGGCACTCTAGCTGGTTAGTGCGACTTATACTTTGCAGTGACTTATATATGTCATGTGTTCTACCAACATTTCCCACCGTGTGGCCCTTTTTGAATAATCATGATTTCAATATGAATTAAAATAACTGTAATTGGCATTTTGCCTTAATCCCTACTCAGAGGTGGCTGATAAATGAAAATGTCAAGTCCTATATATGGTATGTGACAAGCGTAAGTCTTCGCAACCCACACGGTCTACCACAGGATGTGCCATTAAAGTATGTGGTTGCAACTCACAGGCATTAGGCTGTATATGTGGTCCATAAAGGACTCAAACCCAGGACTTTTCCGCTCTCTGACTAATTTCTAATAAAACAGTACGTTTATCTTTACTCCAAGATGAGGAGCATAAAAAAAAAAACGCTTCTGTAATGAGCTATTCTGTACAGTTTTTGTGCAGCAGTTGCTTCATAACATCGATTCAGCATTGTTAAGACAGACGATTTCATCTTTGAGACCCTGTCTCCTTTATTTGACAACATTTGCGACGCTCGCTATTTTGCTGGACCCAACACACATTTGGTAAACATTGCTTAATGCTCCGATCTTCAATCAATTGTATTCATAATAATTAGCTGGTAACCACAAAATTGAAATGGACGGAGTTGTTTTGCCAAAATGTACCATCATTTGGTTGAATACTTTGGGAAATATAAATAAAATATAAACATTTAAATAAACATTTCTACTTACATGTAGTATAAGAATGATGCTAATGAGTCCTTGAAGAAGCTTGAAAAAAATGACTTACTTGAATGCTGCAATGCTAGACAATTGTCATCAAGTATATGTGTTTGTAATTTACCTCTTTAGCGTTTCATTTCGTAAGTTGTTTCGTTTTATCCTGCGAGATTATCGCGCTGACTTACCGACTGTGGTGAACACAGTGCAGCAGAAGAACATGGAGCCAAAGAAGTCCCATCTGTCAGGTCTCTGGAGCCATATCGACTTGAAGCCATGTCGCATCTTTAGGGCTACTTGCTTGACGATGTATTGATGGGAGATGGAGGAATTATCTGAGAATATAGAGCACGTACTGTTATCCTGAAGCACAAGAACTACCAAATAAGTACTTAAGTATTTTTTTTTTTTACTCGTCGTAGTTGGGTCTATGCAATAAAGCGATTAAGTTTGGGTTGTTATTTACCGGTGAGGTTCTGCACAGTGCTGACAATCTGACCCAGGAACTCATCGTACTCCTGCTCGGTGCTGGAGTCGCTCCCACCCTCGATACGCTGGAACAGGAGCGCGCCGAGCGCAGCGTAGGCAACCAGTGACAGACACAACAGAAGGTGAGGGAAGAGCCGCCAAAAGCGCGCTGCGCACTTCCTAGACTCCGCTTTAGGGTTTATTCCTTTCTTTACTGCTACCGACATCCTCCTCATCTTCAACAGCCGTCCTTGCAGCGCGTCAGCCTGAGTGGAAGTGCTCCCTGCGTGTGTGTGTGCGTGCGTGACTGAGGCAGTAAACGCAACTCATCATCCATAGGCAGGCTACAAGCTCTGGGATGAGGCCTCTGGGGATGTCCTTTATTGACTCAACAGCCTGTCGTTCTGCTCTCTGTCTTCTTAGCCTGACACACTTGTGTGTTCTGTCAATGAGCATGTACTGTAATTTTACTGCCTGGGATCAATATATGCATGTATACTATGTATGGATCTATCCATCCATCTATCCGTCTATCAAAGCCACTAATCTTGCATACAGAAAACAATAAAAGGTAAATCACCAATATCAGCTACTTTCAGCTCTAAAAATGTCAAAATTGTATGCCTAGACAATAATAATAGTAATAATAATAATAAATTCAATAATTTTTTAGTTTGGGAATTTGTCTATTTTCTGATTCAACCGCAGCCATTTAAACCAGGCGTTCGAACTTTTTGACTCGTGAGCCACAATTGTCGTAAAACTGAACGTGTCAGGAGCAGATAGATGGAGCGTTCATGTGAACTAAGCTAAATGACATGTTAACTTTCTGACAGGAAGTGACACAATAGACCTTAAAAAAAAAGACCAACTAACAATAACGAATCACCTGAAAAGAAGTATATGTTCTGTATATCTACGTACAAGAGCTCGGTCTTCCAACTTTCTAATGTTAGTTACATTTCTTATACATGGCCTTAAAACTTATAGCTCACTGTGTTACTGTTTTGGAATGTTTCCTGTTTTAAGTCATTTATAAATTACTGTCCTTCCATCACAAGAACACATTTTTAAGTTGGTCGTAATTGTATTTTTTTGTCATATGTCCTTGTTATTTTTACATTTTTTACATGAATTGTGTTAAAAAAAAAATCTCAACCATCAGTTTATTCTGTCCAGCCAGGTATATTTTAGCATAGAAATTCAATCAACACATATTTTAAGGAGGTTATGATTTTGTCACATTAAGGTCATTTTAATTTGGAAGCGTTCATCTATCTATCCATCCATTTTCTTTGGGGCTAGAACAATAGAACGAAAGTTAAAAAATTGTGTGGGTCAGAGCTGGGGTGTCCACACTTTTTTGGCTTTTGAGCTACTACTCAAATGACCAGGCGAAAGTGATTAACCTCCATTGACAACGCAAAATATACATGTTAACACATAAACCGAAAATATTACATATACTGTAGATTGAATGCATGTAGCTCTATGGTAAAATATGATTGTGTTTTACAGAATATGCTCACAACTGCACACTTTAATTCTATCTATTTTTCACTTTTTTATTTTTTTTATTTTAATTGCTCACGATCTATCTACTGCTGGATACTTATCTCCACCTTATTGGATCTAATAAAATTTATGGTCCCAGCGAGGTGGGCTGACAGCCTACCCAAGCCTGATTAAAAAAGGTGTCTGGGAATAAAATATTCAGGCATTTCAATTTAAACTGCTGGAAGAAGAAGAAAAGATAGTTTTGTGGTTTCTTGTCTTTATTGCAATTTTGCTAAATGAGCCGAAACAATCATGACGATGATTGGATGACAAGATGGATTGTTGTAGACATATTTTAACGTTTGTGTTCCTACTGATTCTTCTTCAGGTCTTGGAAAGAAGGCTTGCTGCTAAAGACGAGTATTTAACACCTTAATAAGTCAAAAGAATAGTTTGAACTTTTATTGATTTCTGTGTCTCTCTTGAACATCAATTCTGCCAAAGGTTCAAGCCTTCAACCTTTGATTGCTCAGAATTAGGACTTTGTCCGTCACAATATTTGTAATAGATCCCAATATTTAGTCTTAATTGCTGGCAGTTTCACTTAATCGGTCTGAAAACGTTACGTTGTTTAAAAAATAATTTTCTCTGTTCGTCAACGCGTGACAGGCAGAACAGTTGAATCACCTTCCATAGGTTGCAAAGGATGGCTTTGAAAACTAAAAAGAGAGAATCAGTGCTGTTAAAGAAGATCTTATTAAGGGTCTTTCTTCATGATAATAAATTGATTTTAGTTCATTTAATCATCAAGAATATTATTATATATCATTTTCATTTTATGTGTTTGTAAGATTTTTGTTTTGTGGTACGTTGTGGGCTTCTTTCTTATGAAAGATTTTGCCATGGCTCCAAAAAGGTTGGAAAAGACTGACTTGAGCAAATGAAAGACAGTATAGAAATGTAGGTAGATAAGTCATTTTTATTCTTTTTAAATTCATTTTATATGTAATATACTCCGTACTAATAGGGGAATATAAATATAAATCCCATTCAAATTAAGAATACAGATTAGTAGTTATCCAGAACTGGTGATGCAGTCTTGGTGTTTTTGGATTGCAGCATGGTTGAAGGCCCTGATGTTTGCGACAGTTGGTGTAATGGAGGTCACAATGACGCCGGACTCCCATTGGCGACTTCTGAAGAGACGAACTGTCAAATGATCCCGTTTGTATGTGATGGTATCATTAATAAAGTGACATACGGTATACTTAAGTAAAGGGCAGTTCGGCCCTTTACTTAAGTATACTTAAGTAAATATACTGTATATGCCCTTTACTTTTTTCTTCCTAACCTGCTCTACATTCCAGTATGAGCTATTTTCATATCCATATTTATATCTTATCTTGAGCATATTCCAGACAAACTCCCAGTCAATAAACCAAACTGTCAAAGTGTTCGGATTAGATTTCAGTAACGTACGTAATATTTGCTTAAAAGGAGTGCGTAGAGCCAGCTAGTCCACTGGTGAGAGCTATTCTATCTGCAGTGAGATAGATCAGCATCAGACACTGTCACAGTGTTTTACCTGAAGTTTTAAATAGATATTTCTATTTCTATTTATTAGCATGTTTGTTTCAGTATGCCAGACTTAGCATTCCCTGTGCGAGAGATATAGGTGGGCCACACTAGTCATTCGTATTAAACTGACCAGCACATTTGTATTTTGGCTGGACAAACATCGGTACTATATTTGATCAATTATAGCATCCATCCACACGGGGCAGCAGTCTCCGTGACCGCCACCCAAATCACACTGCACCACACCAGTTCCTCGTGAACCTTCTTGTGGCTGGTGAGTCCACTGAAATGTGCCAACCGCCCTAACGGGGATTTGAACCTGCCCAGGAGGTGAACCCTGGGGTTCCATACCAATGACAGAGACATTGCCTGTGGGCCAAAGCGTCAATTATATCAGTGGTTCTTAATTATTTTTCGGCATGCCCCCCTCCCTCCCCCCTTGGGGACAGAAATATTTTCACACCCCCACGAATAGAAATACTATTGAGAACCTGATAACATTTAGATGTTTATCTCAACAAACCACTTTATGAGTTGCTGCCACCTAGTGACTGGAGGCTTGTTATCATTCAAGCATTACAGCAGTGGTACTGGTAATTATAGCAACACCAACAGCGACATCCGTGTTTTATCTATTCGGGAATGTGGGCAGAGGCTGTGGAAGGAAACTAAAATACAAAGAATAAATCAAAATCGGTCTTAGAAATACTACCCTAGAGGCAAAATCTTGCCAGAGATTGCCACCTCATCTGGCTCCTTTTGATGCAGAGGAGGACTGTGTACTGTGGGATCTGACCAGAAACAGCCCCGAAGGAGTTACATTGCCCCCACCCCTGCCCCCTCCCCCATGGGTTCATCATTTTTGGGAAGGGTGGCCGAGGATGTATGTGGGAGCGAAACGGAAACAAAAGTTAGAAAGGTGTCAAAAATGATTGTATGTCAAATAAAATGTGTAGAAAACAACGAAATAATTGTAAATCTTTACAATTCTAAACATTTTCGCTATGGGACACACAAGTATTCTGTTGTTATTCCTTTGTTCCCACTCTCTGTGTTTACCCCCAAAGTTACATTGAAATTAATGTAGGCAGATACTGATCAAATCCAATATGGACAACAAAGGAAAACCTCAATAAATCACATTATTTCTTGAGCGTAGAGACGGCGTAGTTTTCCGTAGTAAACTCGGGCGAAAAGAGAATTCCTTGATTTGATAGTTTTTACCATTAAGTGTCACTAATTTTCTCAAAAACATTTTAAACTTGAGGTAACCAAATACAAAAAAAATGTTTTTTTTATTACGTAATGGACAAAATCTGACAAGCTTTAAAGAGATTCTTGGTTTTGTTTTTACGTTAAGCTGTTTTGGGTTTTTTTTCAAGTTTGTATCTGCCTTTAAATGCCTAAAACAAATGTCGGTGCTTCCCAAAGCACCAGGAGCAACAGGTGGTGCAGGGGATTCTTTATATAGCTAACTGCTCATGCTAGCAGACTGTGGGTCAAAGTCAGAGAACAACTGCACTCTCTTTCTGTAAATATCATGAGACTAAACATGCCAGGGAATCATATTTGGGATGCTATGCCCTTAGCTTTTCTGCACAGCTGTGGGGTCTGTTTACACGGGTTGCTGTGTGAATCACAATGATCTTAAACCCGGCAGGACACCCACGGAAATGTCTCACGGAAAAGGCATACAGTACGTCAGGTTAGCTGGGCTAACGACATACAAAGTTTTATTAAACAGCATTTCTGTTTGTATGACATAATAACAGAAAATTGTTGTTTGACCTGGGTGAATAATTTTTTTTAACTAATGAATAAATTATTTCAGATACACGCCCATTCAGACACCGGAAAATGTTTTCATGGATCATGGGCGTACAGGTTGCTAGTAGTTTTTTTTTTCCCCCCACAGCATATGTACATCGTTTTTACACTTTTGATAATGTAAAATTTCTAATAAGTGAATGTGAATCAATACCAACCGGGAGCATCTGTAGCCCCATGCAAGAGGGACAATGGAGATCCTCCCATCCCTTCAATTTAACCGTTAGCCTGAATGGAAGTGAATAGGCATGAAGGAGAGTAGCCTAACTAGCTTATGAGAGAGATGTACCATGATCTGATGAAAGTTTAGGCAGCTCTAAAATCCCGGACTATTCTAGAATCCAGGACAGCTGGTCAACCTAGCACGCTATGCTAGCGTACAGCTGCTATTTAGTTCATTTTAGCTAAATTTAATTAATTTAAAATAACTCAAACCTAGAAGCATAAAAAACACATACCTCACTGTTTGAATTTGGACGGTGAATTTTTCAAAGTCTGTTGTGCTTAAATATGCACTTAAAAAGTTTGCCCATATAAGGCCAAGGGAGTTCACAGCAAATCGGATGCTGAGCCCTGATTGGTGTGCTAACAGTGTGTTGGCTCTGATCTCATTATTTGCTTTTGATACACG